CGTGTGGGCGAGCCAGGGTCCACCCTCAATGGTCCGTTGTTTTGCCATTTGAAGGCCCTGGTTCCTAAAGTCCTGCGCGACGCATCCCAAGCACATACGCTTCGACATACCATTGATGTGTCTCCCAATGCACGATGGCGTAGCCATGAGTTGCACGGGGACTTGAACCGCAACTGCTTAGATACCGTGTAGATAGGAACTGTACATTCTGGATGTTTCCTTGGTGGCGGGCGCCGATGCTAAAGCTTGTCTTGATAACTGCATGTAGAGCAGCAAGATGGAGGAGACCTTCTCCGAAGACACGGAGCAGGCGCCTTGTTTTAAGACTACCATATGCCCACGAAGTAGCCCGTTCTCACCGGTTTACTGCACAACACAAAAGAGCCGAGCTGCTGAGCCGCGCGTGCAGATAGTCGCAGGTTTCGTTCTGTGAGCTCAGCAAAGCCAACCACTAAGGACCGAAGATGAGCGTGAGAGCTTGTACAAAGCCTTGACTCGGCTCTCCCATGCCTCTAAGCTGGTGACTCGAGGAGCATTCTTTGGCTTCGGCCTGTGCAGGGGGACTGAGCGGCGGACGACGAAACAGGGTATGGTGATCAATGATTGAGCATGAGCGTTTCTGAATCATGGACAGTGTTGGAACGAACATTTGAGCACGTCTGCACGATTGCATGCAGAACTGCACACGACACGCACGCATGCGCCTACAATATGCCACACTTGAATGTAGAATGCATCGTCGAACCGTAACCGTAACCCTCCACTGCGGGTCAAGTCGCCTTACGTTCTGCCAAGAGCATGGCAAGATCGAGTCGACCGAATCTCTGTCGTCTTGTCTGGCAAAGGCTTGAGATTAAGCTTGGCAACGATCCCAGCCGTGTCAGGAGCCTGTCCGGTCCGTTCGGCCGCGGGCCCTTGGCACACGAAAGCAACCTTGCACTGCTTGCAGGGAGCCGAAGTGGAAGTCCTAGGCAGGGGATTTTCTGAATGCGTGCCTTGAGCCAGGTTCAGCCAGGTGATCCTTTGCAGCCTGCTTGGCTCATATCCATGTAAGCCCTTGAGGCCCTTGAAATCCAGGAGGCGTTTGCGAAGCTGGAAGCGCCCTGCGTCGCAGGGTGCATGGCAACGTGCATCGTCCTTTGTTCCGCCCTGAGCCTCTCACGCAGGAGGGAGAGAAGATGTCCATCGCATTGGCCAGTGTCGCTCCGACAGACCACACCTCGTCCCACAATCACAGCAGCTTCACTTGCTTGCTCCTGGCTTGTCCAAGAGGCTTGTAGCACTCTTGCCAAAGGCAGACTCGCAGGGATCTGACAGATCTTGCGGAAGTGCAGGTCTGACCCGAGGATGGAGTGCACGGTTGGCGCCGCAGGCGTCCTTACACCAAAGCGGCTGCATTGGGGTTCTCTTCCTAGGGTTGCTGCATGGTGCATTATCTGAGATCGCTGGCATTCTGACGATTTACACACTTGCTGGCCCCCTCGGTAGAGTTCGCACTCCGAATTCCGTACCCAGGTGGTCTCCGAACAGACTGCACAGCTCAGAGCAGCAGAGACTGTTCGGAGTTTTGCTGTCACTCTGTTGCAGGAGCCGGCTTGCACAAAGCTGAGAGATGGTTCATCCTGCCGTGCTCCGCCCAGGACCCTCCCGTGCGAAATGCTGTAAGCACAGTCCACACGGCAGCTGTGTTCGATTTCGACATCGTGGCTCTGCAGAGCTCGCCACTTCGGGCCTCCGTTGATCAAAGATGACACCGCCCGAGATGGCCCGTTCTTGGATTTCAGTAGACGGTGATATCTTGGACTTCCGTGCACCTCAATGGCTTTGCGGGACTCTCGCCGGGACGTTTGAACAGCAGAATTAGCTGTTCTCCCTGCTGTCATGGATCCACCCCTCAGGTTCTCCGCACCGTAGAACAGAGGGCTTAGTGGTTTAAAGCCAGCAGGAAATGGTGGTCACGGCATCGTCTGGCCGATTAGACATCTCATACATCAGTGTACTGTGCTTTGAGCCTTGCCTCGACATTGTGCTTTGCGGCGCCTTTACCAGCTTCGGACCTCTCCAGGTCGACGGACGACCACCCCCCTGCCGACAAGCACAGACTGGCGGATTTATTCGGTAAGTTGTTTGACCTGCAGCCTCTTCATGACTTCAAAAGGTGCGATTAGCCAGTGAAGGTTGTGGGCGACATACGCAAGCACACTTGGTCAAACAGGTGCCTGGAATGAAGGAATACCGCAGCTTGCATTGAACTAGTTTCTTGACTGCCTGGAAGCTTTAAGGCTTTAAGCGGAGAGATGCTCCCACTTGGCAGACGTGAGGTGAAGGTCCACCGTGGGAGTTTCGCATCCGGGCATCTCTGCAAGCGCTCAGGATCTGTTCCTTCATTCCAAAACACGTGGCAACGTGGCAGATTCCGGCAGGATTCTCGCGGTGCTTTCGGATTTGCATGCTTCGGGTTTTGGGGCTTGGCGGTTGCAGGCCGAAAGAGGTTCGAGCATTCATGGAATGCCACCTCTGATAGCCCGACAGAAGCGGCCTGTCGTTTGTGCTCCGCTTGTGCCTGAAAACATACCAAAGCGCGAAGGGCCTCAAGAAACTGAGAAGCAGAAAATTACATAATTGGCTGGACGCTCTCACACCGCTTTTTTCTGCAATCCTGGCAAAGTGATGCAAAACTTGCGAGACTCTCTCCAGCCGAGGGCATCATTCGGATGAGAGTTGCAGTCGCATGTTGACCCAGAGAGATTTAGTCGCACTAAGTCACCAGGCGCCGAAGTACAAGAGACGTGCATGGCACGTGCACGGAGTAATTACGACTGAACTGCCTTAGGTAAAGCCCGTGCATGAGTAGAACATCCTCGAACCTTCTGACTTTGGTGCGCAGTAGCCCACAAAATCCGCAGTCGGTCCTCCTGACATTTCGGTTGCAGCGTGCGGGCATGAGGCCGAAGTGCAAGGCAAAGCATGCTATCGGAATCTATCGGTCGGGCTTCCATGACGTGGAAGTGGCCTGCCTTCAATTTAGCCGAGAGACCGCAATTGCAAGATGTCACCTCAAGATTTCGGGCTGATCTGAAAGCCATTGCAACCACGAGTGCTACAAGCCTCCTGGACGCACGGCACGAAGCCACATAGGAAGCTGCTGTGATTTGAGCATGAGGTGTCGTCTGTCGGAGCGACACTGCAGTCCAATTTTGACCCAACCCATGGACATCACTTCTTCTTCGTGTGCAAAAGGCTCACGGCAGAACGGAAGACGCGATGCACAAACCGACGAGAACGATCGGCGCTTGGCAAGACGCTGCCCGCATCGCGAACACTTCCGAGACATGAGAGCATGAAGTAAAGGAGGAATCACAGCCTGAACGATAAGTAAGAAACTCTCAGTGGTTCATTTGTTCTTGTGCCGGCCACTGTGCCGGCCAGTGGCTAAATGGACGACGAAGGATCCCAGTAGCACCCGACCACTTGTGACACTTGTGCCCATCGGTTTTTTGGTGGCCCAGCAGCGTCGTCTTCCAAGGTAAGCTTCAACACAATGCCGCATGCCTGTCAGAGCGAAGAGAAACAGTTTTTTATCCACCAAGGTGTGGTGCGGCGCCTGCAGGAGTCGTGCTCATGCAGCGAAGTCGTTGTCGTGGTTGCTAGGAGCACTCTTATAGGCAGCTTCTGCAAGCTCATACAGGCCGCGAAGCGCACCCTTGGCCTGCGGGGCAGTTCAAGTACAGGCGACCCGGCAAGGTGGATGACTAGCACCGCTGCGCGGCATGCCAGGGAGGCACTGGCTGAGGGGATGAAGAGCAAATCCTGTGCGTCTGAGACACCAAACATAGCCGTAAGTAAACTTGAACTTCTTACTTGATGAATGCTGCTACTGTCACTAAGAAACCAGGAACAGGGAATACGAGACGCGGCCTGGAAACACTCAGCGTATTCTGTGGACGCCTTGCCCTATGCTAGATCATGCCACGAGCCGCAGAATCAGTGCCTGTTGTGCCCAAAGTTTCAGCCCGACAAAAGAAGAACTGCTCGTTCTCAATCGAACATGATTTCGCCAAGGAGCCAGCGATGCAGAAAACGTGTTCGATTCCGGGTTTGCTTGGCGCCCTGAAAAAACAATGGTTTCCACGCCTGGGCTTCGGATCTCGGGATGCGTGCTCTCCATTCACATCCATGCCTAGTCGGTCCATGCAAGCCGAGGGAGGTGCTTAGGATCAAAGACATGTGCAGTTGCTACCGTAAAGCCTCACGAGCCCGGAAAGCTTACGCACCCCAGGACTCAGGACACGACTATATACACCTGTAACAGCATTCAAAGGCGTACCGTAAGAGAAAATGACCCGACCTGCAATCCGGGAATCCGAGACCCCGACACTAACCCAACTCCAGGGTATCAGTCTATAGTATTTCAGCCATCTCTTGCGAACCCAGGGCTTCGAGCAACGGCAGGGTCAAGGACTCAGGTAATTAAGCGACATGTCAAAAGCTTGTCGCAGAGGTGGGTGTGCCCGGCAGTCCAGCGGTGCGATCATGTGCATGCTAAGCTCGGGTGGACACCTAGCTGCTTGGGATCAAGCGCTTTGCGAGCCATATCGTCTTGCTGACTGAAATCCAGGTTTCGTGAGCTCTTGTTTTTGGAGCTATGTAGTTTCCTGTTGGGTGCTTGCTGCGAGGTTGCGAAACATGGAAGGCGGTGCACATCTGTCTATGGCCATCGACAAAGCTGCTCACCTAGATTCAGTTGCAAAGCACGAGTAAATGCAATCATCCCAGTTATGGTACCAGGGACGGGGACGGGAGGAGCAGCTGTACCATAGCAGAAACAGTGAGGAGGCGATGGAAGGAGGAGTCCTATCAGAACCAATCGTCGTCGTCGTCGCTGTCAACGTCGTTGAAGTCGTACCGGTGGCAATACTACTGGTAGCTGTGGTGGTGGTGGTGGTGGTGAAGGGGCAGTATAGTGGTAGTGATAGTGGTGGTTGAGCGGCAGCAGCAGCCGTGGTAGCGCTAGCAGTAGCGGTAGTGGCGATGGCGGTGGCAGCGCCAGTGACAGTGGTAGTGATAGTGGTAGCAGTAGTAGTAGTAGTAGCAGCCGCAGCAGCAGTCCAATCAACATTTACTATTGCCGCTACTACGGCCACGACTACTACTGCTGCCGCTGCTATTGCTGCTACGACGACTTCGGCCTCGTGCCAGTACTCGTATCAACCACAGTCACCATGTAACGAAAATGAGTTATGCAGCTCAGAGTAGGAAGTCCAGACTCCTAGAGCTCGTCCGGATGTTGAGGAACTACTGGGACCGGACCAGAGACTGCTGACATCCGAGAGCCCGAGGCCATGGATACCATTCGCCAGCTTCGTGGCCTCGGCGTGGATGCGGCCGCTTGGGTGGCAGGGTTTGGGGCATCCAGTTGAGGGAGGCTGAGGGAGGTGTGGAGTGGAGATGCTATTACTCTCACCCGAGCCCCAAACCCCAAAACCTTGATCCCGAAGCTCCTAAAGCCAAAGCTCTTGAAGTCTCCTGTGCGACGGTAGATGTCAGGATGTCGATTTGCCTCGCATCTGTGTCGTCGGCAAGCAGAGCTCCGGCAAATCGTCGGTGATGGAAGCCCTCACAGGCCACGAGGGTTGTAGATAGGGTAACTATAGTGATAAGCCTAAGTAGTTTTAACTACAAGTAAGGTACTTACGAACTTAGTTACTATTGTTTCTACTCCTAGAGGCTGTTCCGGAATCTGGATTCGATTGGCCTTGGTTCAGATCGAAATGTCCCACTGGTTTGTCGAGATGGGACATCTTGCGATTGTTGAGCGTCCCCAGCACTAGTCCTGCCAAAGCATTGGTCCATGCGGTAGCTAATGACGATCGCTGCAGCGAGATTTTGGCCGAACTAGTGAGCATTGAGTCATACAACTTGAGACGGACGTTTCGCCTGGCCATCGCCGATGAAACCAGACTGGATCACGTTACTTGTGCAGCTCAACCAGATAAGTCATGCCGAAGCTTGACAAGTGCAGTGCGATCTCGAATCACTCGAATCCAAGAAGGCTGTGGATTCCATTGGAGCAAACAAGCACTAGGTCGCACCGGGCAATCACGTACTGCACAGGATAAAAAAACGATTGCTGAACCTTGTCAGCAAGTCATGTTGTGTTGATCCATGTGCAGAGGAAAAACAAGCCTAGTTTGCTCTGAGAAGTGGATAGCGAACGTACACCTGCAAGCCTCCGGCTTTTCCCAGATACTCTTGACATGTTGTTGAAACATAACTCTGCTCGCAGGTATTGAGGTGCCACGCGCAGCGGGCACCTGCACGCGGTGTGCCTTCGAGATCTACACGGCCTCCTCTGCTGTCGACTTCGAGTGTACGGTCAGCGTGCGCTGTGCAGAGCAGTCAAGGCTGACAGGATGAAACCACAGAAACTGTAGCACTACAATCACAGTGAAAAGAGGCATCGGCAATCAGAGGCAGCAACACTTTTATTGATACGGCGTGTAGGCCAAGACCCTTTTCCTTCGAACGCCGAGGCTGGTGCTTGCAGAGAGTCACGAGAAATCCGAGGTGGCTGAGATGTTGCGCTTGGCGCAGGAGCTCCTCCTAAGCCCTGTGGGCTTGGAGAAGTATCAGAAAAAGCTTCAGAAGCAGCGAGAGAAGCAGGGCAAGCAGGGACTCCTCAACTTGGAGTCCTTGCGTTGCGCAGCGCGCCCAGAAAACTACGATGACGATGAGGACAGCAGGAGGCAATTTACAAAAGATGTCGTCCAGGTGGACATCAAGGGCAAGGGGTTCAAGGACTTGCAGTTGATCGACCTCCCAGGCCTCATAGCATCAGGCGGAGAGGAGCTGGTGGAGCTTATTCGAGACTTGTGCTGCGAGTACTTGAAGCGGGAGAACACGCTGATTGCCATGTGCTGTCCCTTTGATGACGACTTAGAGAATCAAGAAGTCAGGAGCTTGGCAAAACGGTACGACCCCGATGGCCTTCGCACTGTTGGGATCCTCACGAAGCCCGACAAGATCCCGGAAGGACTCGAGGCACAGCGCCGGAACCTGCTTCGCAACCCGGAGGGCCCTTATCGGCTTCAGCATGGATACTTCGCGGTCAAGAACCCGGCGCAGAATGAGATAGAACGCGGAATCACAGCGAGAGAGGCCCGGACCCAGGAGGCGGATTTCTTCGGAGAGTGGCAGGATGCGCCGGATCGGTGCGGAACCGAAAGGCTCCGCGAGTTCTTGGGCGAGCAGCTGCACCGCCTCATCGTAGAGCAGCTTTCAGCTCAGTTGATTTCTTGTGCGTCCGTGAATAGATTGTGCGGTGAAAAGACCATGATCGGCAATGCTCAGAGCACAGTGACATACTGCGCGACCCTCGACCTTGCAACCAAGGCTGCCCCCGTTGCGAGCGGAGCTGTCTGAAAAGCTTGAAGAGGCAAAGCAGGAGCCCGAGGGATACGTGAAGGCTTGCACATGTTTACATGCCTGGTTCCGAGGTCTTCAGTTCGTGCGGAACCGCGTTGTGTCAAGTTTTGTCGTGAAGCAAGAACTCAGTGTATGTTCAGAACAAGTGCCATGCCCGTCTCTGACCGATGTTTCTGGCAGCATGTAGGCGTGGAGTGAAGACGTCATGGACATGCCGCTGCATTCCCAATCCAAGAGTCACAATCCCTTGCGCGAGGAACTCCAGGCGATGGGAGGTGCTGTGAAACCGCAGGAGGCAATGACTCACCTGGTGCGTCTGATTGACAGCATCCAGAACCGCCTTGACAGCTTGGTGGAGGCCAAGGATCGCTCTGAGTTGAGCCTTTGGAAGGGTGTGGAGAAAGCGTACCTGGACTTGCGTGAGGCCTGCTACGCTTGTCGGCCTGTCTTCCATGTGTGCGACACGCCTTTGGATGACAGTGACCTCACGGATGCCGCCAGAAAAGTGGAGCTGACGAGTTGGGAGGATTGGCAAAACCTCACACGACACATGAACCATCGACGCATTCTGGACCAAGACATCGACATGCGGTGGGGGTCGTTCCAACTTCGCAAGGGGTCTCGGGTCGTAGGGCCTCTCTGGAGCAAGCTTCCGGGAAGCTATGGGAAGCCGCTCTGGAGTGTGAAGCAGAAGAGTGCAGCACCAGGTTGGCAAGGTGGCTGGCAGGCAGAGCCGACCATCACGGTTGACAGCCAGGGTAGAGAGGTGACGGTGAATGTTTACAGCACGTATCGCTGGCGACCGGCAGAGCTGCTGAAGGAGAATCCGCCGTGGCCGGTGGTGGTGTTCGTGCAGCCACCTCTGGATGAAAGGGCCATCACGACCCTCCCTCATCTGAAGAAGCTGATCGAGGAGAAAAGAGGTCGCGAGCTGAGGTTGCCTGGGGGCCCGGCGCCCTATGTCGCTGCGCAGGTGGTGATTGCCGAAGCAATTCAGCAGTGGCGGGTCCCAGCCGAAAGATGCATTTCAGATGCCAGACGCCAGATGGAGGATGCAATCTGCCACGTGGTTTCCGAGGTGACGATGCCATATACGGCTTTGTTCGAGACCGTGAAAAGCTCACTCCTGTCCACCCTGTCAGAGGCATTTGCAGCCTGCCAGAGGGGAACGGAAAAGTTGCTTCAGCAAGAGCAGTCTCCGGATCTCTTCACTCAGAATGACCACTACTTGCAGGACAGCTTCCACAAGGCCCGAAGAATGGTAAAGCGGCTTCTCGGCCTGGTGGTGGATTTTGACGAGTTGGAGCCCGAAAAGCAGACGCAGCTTCGGCAGCTTCTACGTGAGAGTGGCCTGCAGTTGTGTGCTGACGTGACCGAACCCTCGCAGGACACACGGCTGTGGCTTCTAGAAGCTTGTTGCGAGCTAAAGGCCTGAGTGTCCGATTCCAGGAGGCTGGGTTTGAAGTGGGCAGGCCTCGCCTTTGTCCTGCACTGCATGTGAGAGACTGATCCTGTGATCTCTGCTCGCGAGGATGACGATGCAATTTGGTGCCTTTGCATGGCGCACGCGTACCACAAGGCACCAGCCAGGGCAAGTACACTGCTGAAGGATCCAGTGAAGGGTTCGGCAGAGTTGGAATGCTGAACTGTGAAGTGCCCGTCCAATGCATGACACCTACTGACAGTGGCGGTAGACAGCTTTGCAGTTTACATGTGTTCGTTCTCGGAACTCTGTCGCAGGTGGCCTTCAAGCGCTTCTGTGACCAGCTTCCCCGAGAGGTGGACCACATGCTATTGCGCCCTGTGGTCTGCAAGATCAAGGAGAACATCTGGAACGGCCGCTCAGGTTCAATGACGGCCCAGTCACTCCGTTCCCAACCCTCCCCCTGAACGTGGAAACCTTCCCCATCAGCTCAGGTCTGCAGGATGCGATCCAGGCAGGAAATGTGCATCATTTCTTTTTGGAAGATCAGAGGACGCTAGAGAAGCGCAAGCAGCTGGAGGACAAGGCCAGGCCATGCTGACACGGCTGAGGTCGAGCTAAATGTACGGCTGTTTTTTGCCAGGATTTCGGGTTGTGTCGAGCTTCGTATGCAACGTCAGCTCTCGTTTCCCCCGACAGTGCAACGCCCAGGTGACACGCCTCTCCCGCGGATTGCGGCTGCTTCAGGACCAACGAGCAACCTCCATTTGGGTATGGGCTTGGAGGTTTCATGTGAATGGGGATTTGCGGTTTGAGGGCTTCGGGCGTTGTGGTTATCAGGCCCGGGTTGAAGGCGGGAGCTGTCAATGTTGTGATTACGGGCTGCAGAGTGTCAGCAAGGGAGGGGCCTCCGAAACTGCAGCGAAATTGAAGGCAGTCGCTGAATCAGTAAACATCCCCCTAGACCCCAGAGCCACCACGAGTCACGTCTTCGTGTTGTGTTTGCAGTTGACAACCTCTTGGGTTGCTGGGACAGTCGGACACCTTGACTTCTCAAATGGGCTCAGCGGCTACGCACCTTTACTCCGAAATCCCGAAATCCATACCGTGCATAAGCCCTCCGCCCCGCAAGCCCCAACCTCGCTGAGAAGCTGATGCCTCGAAACTAGGCGTTTGTAACTTCGGGCCTTTAGGCATGCAGGGAAGGGCTTGGGTGCAAGTTCACAGTGTTTAATTTAGAGTCTTCGAGTTCAGGGCTTCGGGGCCAGGGTTTCCAGGGTTTGCAACAGCCAAGAGGCTTTCAAGCCTTCGCCAAAGCCCCACGCCTATGGCCCCAAATCCCCAAAGCCTTCGAAAGCTCCGGAAAGGAGTAGCCGAGCTCTTAAAGCCGCAGAGGCCGGTTGCGAAGATTGGGGTTTAGGGTCTTAGGGTCGTAAAGGCTCTAGGGTCGGGGCCTTCTCCTTAAGCTTCCATACGGGCTCTTCAGGGTTCTACAAGGGTTCTGAAAAGACTCTAGGGCTTATGGGCTCAGGGTTTAGCTGGTTTGGTTTGGGATTTTTTCGCGCCCCAAACACCCAACACTCCCTCCCTCCTGCATCCCCCCCCTCCCTTGGGCTGCTGCAGCCCCCCTCCTTCCCTCGAAGTTTGCGGTTGGGGTGTCTGGGCTTGGGTCTTGAAGTTTGTGGTTTGGCATTTCGGGTGTAGGAGTCTTCACACGAGGGTGCAAGGTTTTCAACTTTTAGGGTTCGTGTTGAAGGTCTTGTGGGTTTGATGTTGCTTTTGGTTCAGTTCGAAGTCTAAGTACCTGTCTGCACTGGCAGGCTCCTGCAGTTTCACATCAGGTGGAACGGCTGAGCAGCGGATCCCTACATGAATTTGAGACTGCGCGCAGTCGCATGCATATGCTCTCATGACGTGGGCTTCATTGCTCACTATAGGTACTTCTAGCTTCGGGGTGGGGGTGGTGCATAGATCTCGCCGCCAGACTACATGACAGTGATTGATAGTGCAGGGGTCTGACTACCTGGTCATGCATCCCAGTCCTCATGTGACCTGTGCTAGCACAAGACTCCCACCGTTTTGATGAGAGAAGCCACGTCATACTTGTGCCAACTGTGCCGGTACTGGCTTCGCCGAAGCTCCGAGTGCGGCGACCGATCTCTATAGTTCCTAGCAAGATGGTGTCGGCATGAAGTGACAAAATCGGTTCCTCAGGCTGAGCATATATCATCAATAAGCCAGAGGCTGTCGGTCTGATCTGCCGCTTTCTGTCTCTCTCTCTCTCTCTCTTCTCTCTCTCTCTCTTCTCCTTCTCTCTCTCTCTCTCGTGTATGTATCTATGTCTATGTGTGTATGGATGCGTATGTAAGGCCAAGTTTAGGGTTTAGGGTTTAGAGTTTAGGGTTTAGATAAAGGCCTACATCGTAAACCAAAGCAAGGTAACAAGACTGAGAGACTGCTACCGGTAGTTAAGCATGCAGTGCAGACGCCGTCTCTAGGTTGGCAGGTGTGTATGTCTCTCTGTGTGTGTGCACATCGCATTTCGCTTTCCGCGCGCGGCATGTCCCAGTGAATGTCGAGACACTCGGTTCGGGGTTTAGGGAAAGCCTAGGGGTTTATGCATTCGGACCTGAAGACTTTAAGGTGAAAAGCTTTTTGTTCCGAGGCTTCGTGAGCTGTTTGCTGGCCCTTGGCGGTCGCATGTCGGTTCGTCCTGCTGCCTCTTGTATCTGCACCCTCGTGGGTTGCTGTGCACTTGGGAGCATGTTGCGTGGCTTTGGCCCCGGCAGGGTCCTTTTGTCCTCGGCCTCGCTTGGCGCTCTCTGCCAGGTGGGGTTGGGTAGTCAAGGCCAACAGGTTGACTATGTTGCTTTACATCGTTGGTTGATCACAGTCCAAGAAAAGCTCTGGGCAACTTTTCATCCCACATGAACTGATTGCTGCTTCCCTGGGCTCTTGGTTGGGTAAGCTTGCTTGCTTGCTTGGTTGTCTCTCTTGTTTGGTTGCGCTGGCTCCTAGTGGGCCGCGCTTGTGCCTTGCCCGTTTCGGGGTATTGGCACCTACAAAGTAGTGTGTGTATATATATATATATGCTGGTAGGCTATGACTCAGGTTCTCTGCCGCAGCCACAATCATGGCCCAGCCACGAGGCACTCAGAAGCCCTGAGCCGCAAAGCTTCGAAGCCTTTAGATCCTTAACCTCGCCCTTCATCCCGGGTTTCGGGTTGTGCGTTTAAGGGTCCGAAAGTCCTGAACCCTTTCTTCGGGTGAAGGGTATACTAAACCTGGAAAGCTTTAAGTTTTCGTGGAACTCGAGCACTGTGGCCATGGATGTGGTCCGATGAAGTATGCCGGAGGCACGTCGGTTCAAGGTTTGGGGGTTCTGGGGTTTAAGGACTTTGCAGAGTGCTTAATTAGGTCTCGTATTCCTTGCTTGTGGGGTTATGAGTCTGTGAGGAGTTGAGGCTTCCGGTATGTGAGAGGGCCCAAGCCCTTCAGCCAAAAAGGTGCAACACAACACCCGCGATATGTAGGCTTTAAATCTTTAGCGCTCCGGCTCCTAGGCCGCAAGAGCGGATTGCGAGTTTGAGGTTTTAGAGGTTCAAGCTTTCTGTTTCGGGTTTGGTCGAGGACTTTCGTGTTCGGGGTTTAGGGCTTAGGGATGTTGGGGTTCTGGGATTCCGCCGGAGCCCACGATAAACACCCCTGAGCATTCCAGCTTGGGCCTCCAATTGATCTCTAATCTCGAGCCGAAACTTCTACGATGGGGACCGCTCTGCAAGAAGAAGACTCACTGGCCCCGATTCCGGACCCATCGCAATACCCAGAGCGACAGTGATACTCCGTTCCGAGGCAAGCCGTAAACCCTGAACCAGAAGAAGCGCTCAAATTTGGGAGTCTCAGAAAGTAACTGGTACAGGATCCCCAGATTAGAACCTAGAATCCTGTCAAAGGTGCCTCTGCATCATAGGTGTCCAGATATACGTTTTAGACGCGAACTTCCCACAGGCGACGAGGAACCGGAGGCGCACAAGGCCATCTACGCTGCCCTGGCATTGCCAGCCGCAGGCTCAGAGTCAGGTGGTTTGCCGTCCGCAAAGGATTTTCTATACAAGGCATTGTGTGGGGAGTTAGCCTACTTTTTCAGCCTGGGCCTAAGCTCTAGCCTCTAAGCCGTTCACCCCAAACCGTAAGCTTTTCTTGGGGGCGCCTGACTGCGTGCTGAGGGAAAAGACGCTCAACCAAAACCCTGAGCCAGAGGCTTTGTTCCTTCGATACGTCTAAGCCCATATGCTTGACAGAAAGCTCCGTGCCACCACCGAGGTTCACTTGGCGGGCCCGCAGGACGAGGAGACCTTGCTGTGGCCTCAGACCTGAGGGGCCTTTGGTGAAGAATTCTCGGGTTTTCTTCCGGGGCTGACAGTTTATCTAGGGTTTCTAGGGTTTGGGCTTGCTGGATTTGGGCATTTGAGCCAGGCCTTGGGAGGAGCTGCGTGGCTCACACTTCAAGCATACCCTTCCATCCACCGAACCGATCTCACGACCTTGCATTGGATCTCAACTCTGTATGCAGCTTAAGGGTATGAAACTTTGGGTTTGTACCCGGAACCGTAGACATCTGAACGCGAAGAGATAGAGGATCCACAAGACACTTCAATCCGAGAAGTGCTGGAAATCGGGATCCCTGTTTGTGTAGACCTTTGTCATAAAGACCATGCCCATGAGGCTCCATGAACCAGTCAAAAAGGATTAGGGTCTTGCCTCTAGGTTTCTCGAAGTACGGGGCTCTTTTAATGACGGTTTAGGGTTTTGGGGTTTAGGGTTTAGGGTTTAGGGTTTAGGGTAATATTTATTCTGTCATTTGCCGAATCCCACCAGCTTCAGGGCACGGGCAGTGGCTGGGGACCTGCCTGAACGGTTGCGCGTGAAGGCCAGTCCTGGCTTTCCCAAAACTGGGCATGGAGCGCCTCAGACTCGAAGAACGGCCTGGTCTCATAACCCCAAAAAGCCTCTAAACCCGCAACCCTAACCCTAAACCCTGATCCTAAACACACAACCCTAAACCCAATACCCAGGGCCCGTCCAGTCTTGCCTGGTCAAGGACGTAGATAGAACCTTGCTCGATGGGCTCCGAAAGTGATGCCAGGTAGGTATTGGCCGAGAATTGAGAGATTTAACACGAGAGAGAGAGAGAGAGAGAGAAAAAAACAATGAACACACCGGAGTCGCCACTGCAGCTGTCCTCAAGCGGGCCAGCTGTTTCGGGGCCATCCCTTCGCACCCTTTGAAGAGAACACGCGAATCTATTGACGAAGCCTAAGCGCCTGGGAGCTGTTAAGAAACCACAAAAGCTTACCTGTAAACCCTAGACACTGAACCCTTTGACTTTGAGCTTGCTCCGGGCCATGTTCGCCTGTCAATGCTTGCCTGTGAAGTTGTTGATAGGGTTAGGTTGATAACTTACAAAGGCTGGGCAAAGATGAACAGCCTCTGCCAAATGTGGCCTTCGACCTAGCTGATTCAGGCAGGTGGAAAAGAGGTGACAAAAACCCTTTAACTTTGGAAGCCAATCCACGAGAACCTCGCAGTCCCAAGCCCGCGAGCGTCAGGCGGCCGTGGCCTGGGCGCGCATACTTCGAAGACCGGGACGAGGCGAAAGACTGCGGGAGCACAAGGGTTTAGGGCTGAGGGTGAAGGGCTTCGGGTTTAGGGTTTAGGGCTTATAGGGTTTAGGGCTTAGGGTTTAGGGCTTAGGGTTAAGGGATAGTTTTGCCTTGGGGATTTTCGTTTCGAGGTGCTTGGACTTCGGGCGTAAGGACCACAGGGTTGAGGAGTTTATGGAGTGGAAGGCCTTGGGTTCGTCGGGGCACAATGGCCTGCAGAAAGCCGTTGCAACCTGAAGTCCCGAAGCTACTCTAAGCCAGAAAGTTCTGTTAGCCTCAGAACCCTCTCTGCGCTGGACCGGATCTGCTAAACTGCTAAACCCTACACTGCACAACTACGGCTTTGCATTCAATAGCCTGCTACCTTCAGAATGCTAGCACCCAACGATTAAGCTGTATGTCAATCCGTGCAAAATCCCGAGCCCCAGGCCCTAAACCTTACGCATGACGGCGGAGCATAAACGGGATCCTAACATGAAGGCTCGCAGGAAGGGCCTTTACTAACCAGGGTCCGCGTCACCTCGTACAAAGCCGTATACATTGATCCACAACCTGCTAAGAGATTGTCTTTCCGTCCGTTGTTTTTCATGATTTCGTAGAGCATCTGACCGAATTTCGGGGGGGCCTTGCAGCGGTTAGCGGCCTTTTGGTGCTCAGACGCCACCCGCGCGGAGACCTTGGAGTATGAGGTGGCGACTTCGAAGCTTCGAAGGCCGCAGAAACAGGGGGTTTTGAAGGCTTCTACAAGGGGTCAATTGGGGGTCGAAATCGAGAGAGTTCTACAGAGATTCCGCAACTTTAAGACGAGGGGCTGCTCTAGGGTTTGATAAGGGTTTCAGAGTGTGTCTTCTTGTGGGAAGTTTAAAGCTTAGGGCTTTGGGCTTCTGGGTCTCTGGGAAACCCTAAGCCCTTTCTGAGCTCCTCAAGAGCCCTTCAGGAGCGCCTGGATTAGCGAACCTTTTGCGGCTTTGGAGCTCTCGACCGCCGGGAGCTCGGACCAGGGTGATTTCGATGCCATCGGGTCTTGGGGCATCCTGTAGAAAACCTACATGGACAAAAAGGAAAAGTATTTTGCGGGTCTTAGTGCAGATTTTGCAAAAAGAAGACTATAGGGACTATGAGTGACTATGAGGGGGGCTTGGGGAGAGGCGGGGACTGCCCCCTTAATCGCTGTTCTTCCCATGTCCAGGCTCCTCGTTACACAATCCCAATTTGCCAGGACCCCCCGCCCCCCTGCCCCCCGTCACAAAGCCCCGCAATTTCTAAACATGCAAAGATCAGTACAGCTCGCGTACTTTCCGGTGGTGGGATATTCTGTGCGCTGGTTTCGAGGGTTTTTTCAGATTTTTGAAGGTGTTCGTGCATAAGGCGTTTTGGGTTCGAGTGCTTGGATCCGGGCCAAATGTCCTGTGCTCTAGCTTTGCAGGGTCGAGGAAGTTCCAACTTGCTTCCACTCCTGCGATTTTTCACACTCTTTAAAGCCCCACCGTCTAAACTTTATCCAACCTTACACACCAAACCCTCAGATCCGAAGCACTCCGAAAGCCAGTCCAAGCCCTTTCTTTGTGCCGGCCCTTTTGTCGAGGTTTGTCGAGACTCCCTTGGACTAGAGAAGCCACGCGGCTGAGCAGTTTGAGGTGTAGTTGGGATCTGGGGTTTTGGGTGTGAGGCTGAGGGCTTGGCGCTAAAAGGGTGATAAGTTATTTTGCGGTTGTCGTTGCTTCAGTCTTTCGCACGAGGGGCTTCAGCTTTTTTGAGATCGCTAAATTACTCTGCGATGTTTTCTGGGTATTTTCTGTTGAGTCGGAATCTTTGTGGGACGGTGCAGGTGTGGGGTAGTTCATCGGGTTCTCGCACAGTTCATGAAAGAGCATCAGACCTACACCAGAATTCCCCCGTTCAATCACAATCCAATTATGGTTCTTGCTTGAAGCTCCGCCTCGGCCAAGGATGGCAGACTCAATCTGCCTCGTTCTCTCCGAGGTGCTTCCGGAAAGTCGTCTAATTACGTTTGATTCGAATCATGGTTGTTCCTCTGTGACCTTGTGACCGTATCCAAGACGAAGGTGCTTAGCAGGTGCTTACAATGAACATGCATCTCTCGTCAGTATCTGAAGTGCCGGGCTGCAAGTATTGACCTGAGTTCTTCGGAACTCCTTGCTTGGAGTTGTCTGAATCCCCAAGTTCTTTTAGCATGACTATGTATAGTTGTCGGTAGACAATCCTGTGCCATCTCTCAAGACCTCGAACCGCCCAAGAAAAGCCTTCTACCACCCTGCAGCAATCCTGAAGCACACTATAAGCAGTCTACCGCGTTGAAGTACCTTAGAACTTAGAACCCTAAACCCAAAACCTTAAACCCAACACCCTTAAGCCCTTAAGCCCTACAAGACTTAAGCCCTGAAGCCCTAAAGCCTAAACCCGTAATCCCTAAAACCTAAACCCTTAAATCCCAAAGCCTACTCCCTTTCTTTAATCCTAAATTACCCTATAGTGTCAGCCCGTTTCGCTGCAGGCAGCGCGGCAGGCGTCCCCGACCTCCTCGCGCCAGCTGTGGATGGCCGGGGAGTGGTATATTATGGTAAATCGAATATACTATAGTATACAATGGTAGCGTTGAGTATGTTATAGTACAATATGGCACATGAGTATCAAGGGTCCCTCCAGACATTCAAGCTCTCCGCCTTACTTGCTGGGTAGTGTAGAGGGTGGGAGATCATAAGTGCTCAAGCTGCTGGTGATGCAACTGGGTCCTCGAGCCTCGGGAGCTACTTTGCAAGATATGTCACTTGCCTGGTCGAGATCTCACAAGACTGATGGAAGAATAACCTGCCAGATTCTTGAGGATACTACATGCGTACATCACTTGCTAAAGGCTTTTTGGAGATGTGATCCAGCAGCTACATCCACTGCATGTGCACTAAATCTCTGAGCCTTGACCCAAACAGTTTTGAGTTTGAATGAGGTGATGTTGGATCTCGCCCATTGGCACCAAGCCAGGGGGGATGAGGCAACGAAGCGGATGATTTGGCGTTTCGGGTTCGGGCTCTGGGGATCACTAAGGGCTGTGGAATGTTGTGGTTTTGGCCTTCGGGTCAATTGGTTTTATTTCTCCTTTTTAGTTTTTACAGGGCCAGGGGTCGCTCAGGGATGGCTTTGCGTATGGGAGAGCTTTCAAAGGAGCCCGCCGACACCCCCAAAAAAGGCAGATGTTTTTTTTTTCAGGGTTCTATGGAAACGGTGAACCCTGAATCCGAGACCATTTGAGCCCTGTCATTGAAGCCCGGGGCGCGTCCTGGAGCCAAGTGCTGTTTTGTGCAGATCTTGCTTGCCCCGCTAAGCCTTTTTCTCCTAAGCCTTACGACCCTAAAGCTCCTGAAGCTATTCCTGTGAAGGCAGAGGCCAAAGTCCTGGGACGACTGGCACGTGCCGCGCCCCAGCAAGCGCCCCGGGAGGAGACTTCTTGAATCATCCTGACTTCACAGGGAAACGTAGGATGCGCGGGTTTAGAATGCAGGGCTTTGAAAGTGTTGAGTTTCTGGGATTTTCGGCCACTGGGCACGACTTTGTGTGGGAAGACGATTTTTGGGGGCCAAGGCGTCACACTCACATTATGCAACGCGCTGTGGCGGACAAGGAAACCGCGGGTGCGCCTAGCGGGCGCGCCTCAGCAATATAATCCCTTCCGCACGCGCAATATACGAACCTTGCCAGCTTCTGCATGATACCGAGCCTGCTTTCATACCATAGCCACAGCAAGGAAAGCATGTCATGTGCTATATGTTCCTACTCTGCTGACTTACAACAAATTCCCCCAAATCCTTGGTCATTCCTTAACCCTCGGCCCTCGCTGCCAGGGAGCGGAGGGACCCGCGCGTTGTGGACCGCTTCTACGGCTGGCGCTTCGATGCCGAGCCAGGTTTTGGAATCCTCCCCAAGGTTGTTCTGAAAGGGTTTATTGTGACAGGATGGGACTTATTTAGTACTGGGGTTGTATGTGACAGGGTGTATTGGAAGCCCAAAAGCCAAAGGGGTCTAAACAACTCTGCGAGGTTTCAGGTAAGCCCTGAACTTTCGGTGGAAAATCGGGGTTAAGCTCGAGGGATGGTTGGGATTCAGAGTCGAGGGCTTAGAGCAGAAGGTGAAAGACACCCAAAATGCCCCGTCATTGCCTGGGCGAAGCCTCGAAGCTCAACGCATGATCAAGCGATCCATCCATCCACGGATCAGCGTTGTTGGGCTGTCAGCTTACGGCAGCTTTAAGCGTTAAGGGGCTTCGAAGCTCGGTTTGGGATTGCAGGCCGCGAGGCTACTACAATAGGCAGAGGTGCAGTACCAGTACCTGTGACCGCAACCCTGTGAAGTCTGCTTCAACTTTTCGAGTTTCGGGTAGTTTTATTAGGAACCTTCGCCGACGACAGGGCAACACCTGCACACAAAGGTTGTTGGCATGCCGCAAGCATTGGAATGACAATCAGATTTGCAGGTCTAGTGTCGGTCCCTAAAGCCTGCACTGCGCGCTTCCATGGATATTGCTCGGTGCAGCGTTTTGCTTCTCCAGGCTGTACATGAGGTGCCCTGGAGGCGTAAAGTATGTGCCAGCCCCGACCCTTAAGCTTGCCAAGGAAGAACCCAAAGTCTTCTAATCGTGTTTCAATAGCTTCTTGGACTCCATGCATGCTCTCAAGCACTTACAGAGCACATTTCTTCACCCCCATCTGACACGAGTCCAGCTGCGATTGCACTTGAAAACTCAGGGGCTTTGGCTTCCACTACCCAGCAAGAAAACAGCCTAGCCCGAGCAGCAACAGCGACAAGACTCTGGAAACGGGCCTCTGCCTGTAAAGCTTGGCTGTCACCATGGCGTCCGCTTCTTTCCAGCAGATGGAAGATGCTCGCACGCCAGGCCAGGGTTCAGTTTTTTCGGGTTGAGAGCTTCTGAAAAGAGGATCTTACTATAATGTCAGAGCCATTTAAATTCCGCTTAGTGCTACCTCCCCAAAGTGGTTCGGCTCCAGTTCACACCGGAGGCCTTGTGGGTCCCACAGTTTCGGAAGCTCCCATTTAGGCTTGGAGCTTGAACGTGAGGATTGGGGTTCTAATATGTGGAGGGCATTTCCCAGTTCAGGGAAAGTCTCTATTAGGGGGTCTTACCCTAAACCCTAAACCCTGACCCCAGACCCCAGTAGGAGACTGTGAAAGAACGGACGCCTCGCCAGATCCTCGCGAGGCTTCGCGACAAGGTTAAGGATTGTTCAGGTGCATGGTATGTAGGGTTGCTTCATGGATCTTTGTGTTGGTTGCGGTCAGTGGTTTTGTTTCGGGCTTGTGTTATGGATCTTCGTATAGATTGTTGGGTGCTCTTTGCGTGTTACGGGGCTAAGAGGGTTTAATTGTGGAAGCGTAGGGGTGTGCAATGTGAGGTCTGAGGTCAGCCCCTGCTTGCTGTAGAGCAGAGCCCCAAACCCAAAGCTGAGTTTCACAAAATCGCGCAAACACATACAGGCCCAACTTAAGCTAAGGACGCCAAAGTCTCAAAAACCCCCATCCCCGTCGTTGCAAAGCTTCAGGGGATGCTGTGGTTCCCCAGCGTGTGGCATCCGCGCGTCACTTTCGCGCTTTGATGCAGAAGTGCCTGAGCCGAACAGGATTGTCCATTCCACAGGCTTGCAGGCTCTAAGCTTTGGGGTCCAGGGCCCAAGGTTTCGGATTGAGGGCCGTGGGTTGGGCTTACTAACACTATCTGGACTCCTCGGGGTGTGATTGCGATGTCAGGGTTTGCGAAACCCGCAGTCCTGAGGTCCTTAGACCCAATATTCAGAGACTCGGGGGTGACGCCGGTTCATAAAAACAAGGGCTCAGGATGAGAGCAGAGACGGCAGAGAAAGGAGAAGGCCTGACCTTTGTGGTATTTATGAGCTTAAAGCCGTCCAGGCCCCGAGTCCCTAAATCTTAATTCGTTTCGGAGTCAGTCAGGTCGGGCTGAGGCCTTGAGGGTTTGGGCCCAGGGCGGGGTAAAGGTTCCGACATCCAGGCCCTGATATCCAGCATGCAAGCTCCTAAACTTTCAACCCTACACCCTCAACCCTAAGCCCTGCGCTCTACACCCTCAACTCCAAACCTCCGAACCGACCCAAATGCACCCCCTTATGAACGCCATCACAGTTAAACACATCGTTGAACACCCGCAGCTGGCAGAGAGGGCATGAAGGAAAACACCGATTTCGGAATCCCACAGCCTTGGCCAGTTCAAGCCCCAACTTCTCAGCACTCTCGGCACTAGACCAATCCAACCAACGAGGCAACCCTACTCCTCCACTGCTACACCCCAAGGGTTCAACCTTTAACCCGACACGCAAAAGCAGCCCAAAGCAAAGTTGCCGAGGAATCTTCTGCTGAAGCGTCGGGAGTGGTCCGCGCAATGCTGCCCTTGGTACCTTGTCGGTTTAGGACTGCCTATTCTTGTTGGGATTTGTCCTGTTGTCAGTCGGGTGTTGTTTCATGCATGATGTGACCAGTTACTTGCAAGTATGGTCGTGATTCGTACCAGCAATATCTTTGGCTTCTTCTGCTTCCCGTCTTCTTTCGCTATTGTTAGTCTTCCTCATGACTGTTCCTCTTAAACCGAAACCCTAGTGTGCGGATGAATGTTCGATCTGACGATCATTCCAAACCTGGGGACTCTCATGTCGCACCACATATATACTCGGATCATTGCTTGAGGTTCCAAAAGAAGATGCTTACAACAGCCTATCAAAACCCTGCAAAGACATAACATACAAGGACCTAAATCAGGGACTCCCCTGCCTTCAGCCCTCATCGTTCGGCTTAGGACTTGCCTTCAGGCTCCTCAGGCTTCGAAAGAGATCCCCGGACAACTGGCTTCTTCTTAGGGAGCTTGACCTCGTGGCTTTGTAAGGGCTACTGTCCTTCATGAGGTTTTGTCCAGGATTTTGTCGGGCTTTACACCTGAAGCCATAGTAGTGGAAAGCAGAGTAAGCAGTAGGCTTCGGCACCCTTCTCCAGAAGCTTAGAGCTCTTCCGGCACGAAGGAGCGCTGACACCCAAACTCTAAAGCCTAAACCTGCAACTCTAGATGCCGACCTGGCTGATGCAAGAAAGCCCTCAATCCTAAACATCCCGAAACGCACAGGTGTCCCTTTGCGGCTTGTTGCGAGCTGCTACTGCCTTTGGGGGTCTTGGCTTTGCTCTGGTGGGCCAAGTCTGAGTGTGCCAGCCGCTTGGTTTCAGGCAGCATACTATAATTATAGTAGGTGGATATCTACATAATATGCAAAAACACAAGTAAACGAATAAATAGATAACACTACATGAATAGATGGGTACATGTGCGTGTACATGTGTGTGTGTATATATATATATATATTCACGTAATACTTCGGGTTCGTTATCATCGTCGTCATTGCAACATGTACACCAAAGACCTATCATGATTCTTAAGGCCCCTACATTAATTCCTAAGACAATGCTGAAAGTAGGGCCCCCCCTCCCGAGCTGTCAACGTCAACAGCAACTCCTTAGCGTAATATACCCGTATCTGTAGCTTGGGTTTATGGCTGTTTGGAGACCCTAGCAGGAGCATGAATAAATCAGCGTACTCTGCCTCCATGTTTCCAAGCTAAGCTTAGCGTAACACTGCACGAAAACTCCATTCAATCATGTGATCCTGGACCCGAAGCCCTTCACCCCAACAGCCCCAACATTCCTAAACCCTGAACCCCAACAATCCCAAACCCCACAAAACCCAAGCCCTAAACTGGAGAGGTAACGGCCAATGTCAACTGCCAGTCCTGGAGGGCTGGGGTGGCCATATGCCAAAGGACAATCACAGTGTAATTTGCGAAGAAGGCAGGGGACATTTCGGACTTAAGGTTTCAATGCCTTCTGTGCCCGTACTCATGTTGATGTTGTCACGCTTGACAAGTGGGGGATGTCTCGACTTGCAACGACCTTCTTTGAGTGTTGTTGTTGTTGTTGTTGTTGTTGTTGCTGCTGCTGCTGTTGTTGTTGTTGTTGCTGCTGCTGCTGCTGTTGTTGTTGTTGTTGTTGTTGTCGACAAGCGAGGTACACATCGTCTCCCTGGGTACTCGCAGATCGGGGTATGGGGAATCACCACCAACATCTCATCGCCTCGCTGCCTCGCGGCACGAGCAACATTACTCCAGGACCATGATCATCACAACGGGGTGCCGCCATCGCCAGCGGTCGCCATCACAGTCACAGTCTCCGCACCGGCACCATCCGCGAATGCAGCCGTCGCCGTCACCATCACCATCCCATAACTGCTTTGGCAAATGCATTACATCAATCACACCAGCATGCCACGCCATGCCATGCCATGTCACGTGAGTCGCGCCATTGCTGACTTGCCAAATATGCCGAATAAGAACGCCGGCTAGCTAAAGACCTTCTACCCCCAACACGCCCACCATTCCCAGGCTGGACACCAAGCATGAATCCGGAAGAGCCCTCGAAGCCCCAACTCCCAGTGCCTGAGGCCAAAGTAGAGGCCTTCGAGACCTCCAAAAAGATCTCCTTCTGTGGGGTCCTTTTTGGGGCGCCTGTTCCTAGAGTAATGCCCTGTTCAAGTACAAGTTGTTAGGCGCCCCCCAACCACCAAACGCTCCTTGCTGATGAACGGCTTCCTGGCTTTCTGAGATGCAGAACCCCCTGCTTTCTGAGACAAAGGCTGGCCTGCGAACTCACCTGTCACAAAGCCCTACACGACGCAAATGCAGCCGAGCACATCCTCGAGTCACCTCCCAGATTCACCAACCTGCATTAAAGAGCTGTCCAGACGGAGCTTGTCGCAGAGGTCCGTGACTTGGGCGTCATAACCTGCGTAAAACCTCAGTGCAAACATGGGTAGAGGCGGACGCATGCACCTTGTGGGCAGTGCACAGTATTTTTCACAATCCGAAACTCCAAGGCCCTCAACCCGAAAGCCCTTACGCCAATACAGTACATAATATACCCCCCCCAAGCATAGTATCTCTCATGATTGCGGCCCTGTCTTACCTGTTAATCCCGATATAATGTCGCCCCTGTGCAGGCCTGCTTCTCCGATCCGATGGCATCGGCTTTCAGCAACGATCCTCCTGTGACACTTGGAGCCAGCACTTCGAGCAGCCTGTGCATCTTGGAATGCAGCGGCTTAGGGCTGTAAAGGGGTGAGTGGTGCATGGGCTTGAGGATTTTGGGGTTTAGAGTTTGTGTAGGGCTGTGGGGTTCAGGACTCAAGCACTTCGACTGGCTACGTACTCCTTTGGCAGCTCGTGCGGGCGACCTTCGGTTGGATCTGTCGTTTAGTTTAAAGCAGTACTGCCAGTGGGCAAGCTTCTTGAATGTTCAACTTAAGAGTCATTGGGGAGTTCACGACCGGTCTTGGTCTTTGTTATGGTGGCTTTTGTTGCTGGTGCATGGAGCTGCAGCTGCTGCGCCTGTTGATGTTGATGATGAAGACGACCGAAGGTTTTATGGTTGTGCCGAGCTTTAAGGTCCAAGGGTGGTTTAGTGGTCCTCACCGAGCATGTTCTCCAGGCCTGAAACCTCGCCTTCCCCTCTGGGACAAGGCCCTTGGTCAGCATCCTCGCTTATCTCCACTGGACGGGCGAGCTCTCCGGCTTCAGAAACCTACGATTGCGGCTTTAGAGCTGAGATGTGTGGGGTTTAGGGATCTTAATGTTGTCTTGAGTCTTCAAGTTTCCTGACTTGTTGCTCTTTCCACCCGCGAAGAGTTCGAGAGACGTCCAGAGAACCTGACCCCAAGATTCACAGCATTTCCATCCTCACAACGCAAGCCTCACGGTCATCTCCGAGTAGATCCCCCTAATAGCGAGTACCTGATTCTCGTGGGGGTATTGCCAGAGTTGGATTCCAAGTACTTTGCTTTGAAGGCCCAGAGGGAGAAGCGAGCCTCCGGCCAACCAAGATGAAACTGCGAAGTCTGTTGATGGGTGCATTCTAAAAATCCTTCGGAGAGCAGTACCGTTTTAACCTATTACTGGTTAATCTGCAAAAGAGCATTAAGTCAAGTGTATCGTTAGTGGAGTTACTGATGGCAACGCACAACTACTATCATGAACCTGCTTGCGGTTGGCTTGTGACCTACGTGTCTCTACTACGATACGTCGAGAAAAAAAGGCTGACAACTAAAACTCAAAAGCCCTAAACTCCCATGAGCTAGAATCCTACAAGCCTGGAGCTGCGGTAACCAAAAGAGGGTAAATTCTAAAACCCTTCAAGCCCTGTGAATGAGGCTCTAGAGTGCTAAGCCCTAAAGCCCTACAGCGCCAGGGCCATACTATCACTGAAGACAGACTTCACCCAATACCTTTTTACCAGCAGTGATTATTCGTTTTTTGATGACTTTATGAAGTTATTGCTAAAAGTGATATTAGTTAGAAGGGTTCTGATTAACATTAGGAATTATTAGGAATTCTCATGTTTATGACTCCGTTATGATGGTTGAAGCGCTGATGAAGCCTTTGGTTCGACTCGCTTTGCAGGCGCCTTGCGCTGGCGGCGGAGCACGCGTCGGACGTGCCGAAGCTCGAGAACATGCGCAGGGGGCCCCAGGGTTCCATGAACTCTTGGATCGGATCAGGGGTTCAGGGTTTGGCAGTGTTCAGGATTTCGAGAGGTTTAGGGGCTTCAGCTTGACGGTGAACGGGTTCAGGATTTAGGGATTCGGGGTTCATTGGTCTAGGGTTTCAGCCTTTCAAAAGTTTAGGGCTTCCCTCAAAAAAGCTAATAACAAAGCGCGAAACGTTCCACGACTTGAGGGAGACTGCTCCTGTGAGCCTGCTGATATGTCTGCGAGATTCTACTCAACAGGGCTGTGCTGTCAGGGTATTCTTTTCAAGATTTAGTGGCTTAAGGTCTACAGGTCTGATTTCCCCTCTAGGCCACAAGTTTGCACTGCAAGGCCAGACGATCACTGAAGAATGGTTTGGTGACTTGAAGATGCAGTGCCTCGGAAGATGGAAGGGTCCTTTCTACATCAAATTACCCACCACTTGAACACCGCTTGGGCTTGGCGAGTTGGGGCTTCTGGTTTTGCGACCTGTCGTTTCCTGAAACCAATGTCTTTCTTGAGTGCACCCGGCCACCACATGCTCTTGAGCTGTGTGGGCTGCGGTGCTTCGAACAGTTTTTGCCGGAGAGGCTGAGACCACATATCCGCTGGAAATGCTTGACAGGGTTCAGGATTTGGGCGTGTCGGGTTTAAGTCATACAGCTGTGATTGCAAGGATGATTGAGGTGTGTTCAGGCCACTTTGGGTTGAGTGGTCCAACATAGGCTCGCAGCTCTAAAATTGGAGTCGCTTGATTCCCGTCCTTTCGCGCACTTCGGGTGGTCCGGTTTTCGGTGGCCTGCCGCCACGAATTCTGTGGCTAGAGCCTTGGGACTGTGTGGTCTCATGCAGGGATCTGAACCACTAGACTGTTTTTCCCAGATGATGCCATGGCATACGCACCCTGTCTCCAATCCTATTTTTTCAGCATCGCCAGGACTGCCAAACCCTTGAGCCCAGCGTCATTTTGGAAACCCAAAACCCAAACCTTACACCTTAAGCCCAAAGCTTCAACAAAAACCCACACCTGAAGCCCAAGACCCTAAAACTCTAAACCTCGAGAAAAATCCTCGAGGCTTAAACCGCCTAAACCCTGAAAGGAACATTCCCTGCATCCCTCTGGAAAAAGATCTCCTCCGCGGGCTGGAAAAGTTGATGAAGCAGAAAACCGCTTCTTTGATACGTTTTCGGGGTTCGGGTTTAGGTTTAGGGTTTAGGTTTGTGTGTCTAAGCTTCGGGGAGAATCGTCGAGTCAAGGATTACTACGGATTTAGCTTCAGGCCGCCGGAAATGGATTTATCGATTTATGGTGTTGGGGCGGAAAGGTTTCAAGGATGTTGACTTCTTATTCATTTCTGCAGAGCGCGTGTGCGTGTGCGCGCGCGGGTGTGTACTTGAGTGAGTGAGTGAGTGTGCATGGTGAAGTCTAGACAGCGAGCAATCCCCTTCCTCCACGCAGTCGTCGCCATGCCATTTGTTTGAACTCCCGTTCGTACTTGTTCTTGTGATAGAGGTGGTGGTGGTGGTGGTGGTGGTGGTGGTGGTAGTCGTGGGAATGGCATGTAGCCGTGGAGGATTTGTGGTAGTAGTAGTACTGGTCCTTCTGTGCTATTGCGGCCCGCTGCTCAGTTCTCACCAGCACCACGACTGGAGGAGTCGCCTAGGCCTCTAGAGTGGGAGTTTCAGAGCATGAGAGGCCCCATGCTAGCCCGAGTGTTCAGGGGTCGGAACAGGTTTCGGGTCTTGCCGCGACCCGTTGGTTTTTCCCCGCCGAGGCAAATTCAAGCTTGCCTTGCCACTTGGCCGCGACCCTGAGCCAGGAAGGCCGTTTCAAGCGTCAGGGTGGTTTAGCGTGGCTTTGGCATGAAAGTCCAAGTAGCAGAAAAACCCTACGGCCTGGACCGTATCGTGAATGCCCTCAAAGGAGACTCTGAATAGTAGAAGCTCCTGGCATGCTTCCAAGGTGGCTTGATCCGGAAGGCGTATGTCGTTGGTTGAAGATGTTCCTACGTCCCATCTCCTTCTAGTGCTTTCGCCGCTGCTTTTGATGCAAGTGTTGTTGCCGCCGTCGCTGCTATTGCAGCTGTCTTCTTTGCTGCAGCACCTGAAGCGGGACTCACTCGGCCGCCTTGTTCAAATATTCGCAGAACTTCGAGGGCCACCAAAGCCTCCTGCACTGTTGCTCAACAGCTGTTCAAAGGCATGCAGGGCTGGCAAAATTTTGATGCTATGAATTCCACAAACACCGGCCTGAGCCCCACACCCCGATCTTCGCATTTACAGTTTCCTGAGCTGGCGCCAGCCGTGCCGAGGTCTCAAACACAAGACGCTCCTCGGGTCTTTTTCAGCAATTCTTTGTGTGAGCAGTGCCGTCCTTGCAGTTTACCAGCACTTCGAACGCTACATCGTCGTTGTCGCCGTTCTGGTCTGTAGATCACTGAGGAAATGGCTTTCCTCTCCCGGCGCCAGTACTATCATGTCTTTCGCCTGGTGTCATGATGATTGCTCTTGTGGTTAGTCTCATCGCTGGCCCTGTTCGTAACATTGTAATCACATCATGAAGTAGTGTCATACTACTGTAGTCGCAGGTCGGAAGGAAGCCTCTGTTGGCTCCTTGAACCTGTACGCACAAACGAGCCGTCCACATCGTTGTCGTGGCAAGGCCCAAGCGCCCACACAAGAAATCCTGCGTACCCAGAGCCCTATTCATAAACAAGCAAAGCCTGAAGCCAGGCGCCATATTTAAGCAAAAAAACTGAGCCCTACATGAACCCCGAACCCTAGACCCTAAACCCCCAAAAAAGCATCCTAAACAAACCCGCGCAAGGAACCCTGGGGTGCTCCCGGGTTTCGCCAACCTCACACATCCTCGGATATTCACTGGTGCCGAGTTGGAGAAGTACTTGGACCAGGCTGGTTACACCTTACATCCATATCCCGAACCGGTTTCCAACAAAAATAGAGGACCCTAATATAGTACACTAGATAGTAGGATCCTTACTATAAGGATCCCAGAATAAGGTACCCAAATTTCCGGAAGCTCCCAAATCCCAACAACGGAGAGCCCGGCCTAGCGGGCTCCAGGCCATGGGGAGGCAGGCCATGGCATGACGCAGTACCGAAGGAAAGGGAATAATGTAGGGGCCTTAATAATTAGAATGGGGCTTTGGGGCCATTATACTATAATTATAATAAGGAACCTTTCAAACAATACAGGCAATTAGTTGGGTCCCCACATAAGAGTTTAGGGTTCTGTCAGGGTGCCCCAATCCCCAGTCTTTCACGTCGAGTGCGAGAAGACTCGACAAATGTTCTTGGAAACCACGGTGATTATGCTCGCACAGATCACCCTGCATAACCTCAAACCTGCAACCCCCCCAACTGTAGACCTTGAAGCCTAATGTAGACCTCTGATGACCAGACCACCTTCCCTTGATGGCCGCAAAACTGAGCTGCTCCTTTTCACAGAAGGGGTGTCGTAATCAGAGGTTCACAAGAGATGGCCGATCTAAGCCCAGGAGGATTATGGCTCTCCCAGCGCCCCACGCCTCTTCGGAGCTCTGCTCTTCAATTCGGTCGGCGGGGATGGCGGAATGGGCGCCGCGGGCAAGTGGGACCCTAGGCTCAGATCTGTTTTTTGTGCGATCTTGCCGTGTCTATGCTTTATCATGATCATCGTCTTGTTCGTCACCACTAATTACCATCACCATCACAAATCACCACCGTGAAGAACAGCTGTGCTTATGAGGATGACGAACACGCTGAAAGAAAGCAGGTGATGATGGCGATGCTTGCTGCTGCTGCTGCTGCTGTTGTTGCTGATGACGACAGTGGAGATGAACAACTAAGTTGATGATGTTATTGTTGTTGATGATGCCGACGGTGAGTAAAGTCCTGCGGTGATAGGTGATCGCGATGATGGCAGGGGTCGTGGTGATGCTGATGGTGGTTGTGAATATGATGGAGGCGAACGGGCAAAGTGGGGAGGGAATGTGGAGGAGGGAAGGATGGAAGGAGGAAGGAAGAGCATGAGCCGCGTTGCGAAAGATTCATGCCTGCCAGACAAAGAACGCGGGAGTTGGAGGAAACTTGGTGTCCTGAACTTGAAAACAGCTTGGGGAGTATTCCGACCATAAAATACCTTTCATTCTTGGCTGTCGTTGGGTAGACAGGACGAATTAGGACGACCCGAACCAATCACACATCTTTGTCTTCGAATCAGAAGGAACCTTCCACTTCCGAATTTCCCGTCTGAGGACTACAGCATTCGCCTGAATGTGTCGGCAGGCGAGGGGCAGCTACTGACCCGAAACTCCCAGACGCGATATTCTCATGAACAGGCGACTCTGAGCAGCAGGATCGCGATTGTGAGGACCCCGAAACAAGGTATTCCCTGGCAAAAAGGATAGACAATGCTTCATGGGACGGTGAAGGTACTGTACAACGGTGTACCCTTTAAGTTTACGACAAAAACACAGTACTGGTACCATGAAGTCCTGAAGGCACACAAATCTACACGCGAGTCCCGTCCACCAGACCTCTGGACTTGGGATTGAAGACCAACGAGGACGTCCCGAGGAAGTTTTTCTGGGCTGCGGGTTGGTCGTACATGAGTTGCACAAGTGCTCCAGGGGCTTGAAGAAAGGTTTGTGTCGTGACACCATAAGGTTTGTGTTCGGGTTTGGTTGGCGGAGGGCTTTGGGACTTCAAGAGATCATGAGGGTGTAGGGTTTGGTGGTTTAGGGGCATTCGGGTTTAGGGATTCGGGGGTTCAGGGTTTAGGTGTCTCAGGGGTCAGGGGTCGGAGGCAGTTTCTGGTGGGGTTTGAGTGTTTCTGGCTTTAGGGGCTTCGTCGCTTCTGCTTCCGGATTGCTTCGGAAAGTACACGCCAAATTGTGACTGACGAAGCGATTGCCGGAGGCGAAATCATCTTTGTTTCAAAAGCTAAATCACGAGAAGGCGAAGGGGCCTCCAACAGAATGAAGTCTTAACCAGGAAAAGGTGGCCCTCAACAAGACAAGCGACATGCGAGAAACGCCAAGCTCCTAACTACTGCATGCATTTGATGGTTGAACAGGCCTTGGTCTATCTCCGGAGGGGCACCGTGACTGCAGTGAGCATAAGCACTGCGTTGACATTGTCGAGCGCCGACTCCCAGATCGAAGAATCACGCATGATGTCTTCGCCAAGTCGGTGCACGACCACTAGGGCCATAGTTTGCAGTTGATATTCTTTGCTGCATGTGACACTGAAGTATTCCGAGCCATTCTCAGGACGCTCTTGCGCAATGCCATCGGGTCATGGGAGTTCACGTCTTGCTTTTCCATCGCCCGTCCGGCCAGAAAGCATCGGGCGTTCAGCCTCGTGCGCTTCTGTTGCCTCAGCTTCAGACTCTGCTTCCGTATCAGCCGCAGCCTCTCAACCCTGACTATGCCTATGATACGAAACACTGGAATCCCAAAGCCAAAACCTGAAGCCTCGAAGAAACCTACGGGTCCAAAACCCAAAGGGCGGAAAGAAGGAGCCTGAAACCTAAACCCTAAACCCTCAACCTCATTCTGCAAAGCTGCTAAGTCCCAGGCTTCATGTCTTTGCAGCTGCTGGTCGACCGGTACGCCATCGGCTGGCCCGGGGCAGATGTTACGGAGGAAAGGTCGATGAAAACTGCCCACACTCTTGTGCAAGCAATTCTTGTTTCGTTTCTTGGTATGCTTTTTAACAGGCTTCGGGGCTTCTTGCTAGGGACTAGGGTTTCGAGTCCAGGGCTTCAGGTTTATCGGTAGATCGTCATCCCTGAAATTCTCCGGTTTACGTAGTTCCATGGAGGATGCATCTTTGGGCCCTAAACCCTAAACCCTAAACCCCAAACTCCTTAAGCCCTCAACCTTTGAAGCCCTGGACCCGAAACCTCTGCAGGAGTCAGCTCCCGCACTTCTCTCAGCCAGTGGCATGCACGAGATGATTGGCAACGAGGCGCCGGCATAACACGGGGAGCCCAGAACAGAAGCCCCGAACCCTCTTAAAAAACTAGAAGGGATCTCGTCGGGTTCTAGCAGAGATTTGCGGAGTTCAGGATTTAGGGGTCGAGCCTCGAGGCTTTCGAAGCCCAAGCCCAACACCCTGCCTTGAACCTGAAGCTTTCTTTGGGATCCAGAGTGGAGGGTTACTTACGGTTCAACGATGCATTCTACATACAAGTATGACATAAGGTTTAAACTCATGTGTCGGCTCATAAAGGACCGTAGAGGAACGGGATGCCAAGTTGCTACGGCTTGTCTACTTAGTTTCTCGACGGCCAAAACCCATCATCCAAAATCTGAGCGCTCCATAAGGGGCGATATTTGGCGAGTATCGGCGGCCAGTCATAAGACCTGGATTTAGATGCAGCGGTCAAGGAATAGTGTTGCATTGGAAGCCGCTTTGCGTTCTCTGCGAAGATTTTCTTCACCCTGACAGCTGCTGCTTCGTTTCCTAAGCCCTCACTACGAGCGAAGAACCCACCCCTCCCTAAGAGTCAAGAGAGAAAGCTCAGCGAAGGGTGGCAGCAACAGGCCCATTTCATGCACGTCCTGTAGCTCGCAAGCCAATACTCCCTGAAATGCTGCCGGCAGACAATGGACACCCAAATCAAGCTTGCCGAGTATCTCCGCAACCTGGTGGAGCAATTGCAGCCCTAGAGGGTTCCAGTCGATTTGGTTCGCAGTATCACATAATCTTGTTATTATGTAAATGTAACTAGGATTTCATCTATCCGAACCTCTCATTCTCGTCCGCATTGGTGCTAGACTCAACAGCGACATTGGCATAGGCACTTGCAACACACATACAACCATACATGCATAAATATCTACCAAAACACATACATACTTACCTACATACTTAGACATAGCTCAACTGAGCTTATCTTACCTTTATCTCGCCCTACCCTGCCTTACCTACATCACTTCACTCGGGGTCCTCTACTCTGCTCTGCTTTTCTTTGCGAAACTTCATGTCACTGTCCTTATATCTGTCTGCACATAGAGGTACTCATACACGCACACATGTAGCTGCACTACCATCCCTGTGTATATGTGCCTATAGAATATATATATATATATATATAATTTAAATAAAATATATATATATATATAAACACGCGCTCAGTCCGGGTTTCTTTCTTACGAAGGGTCTTGAGATCGCCTGGCATACTTGGTGTGCCGCTTGCTTCAGGTCGTGTGTGGCCGTTCAGGCTTGGGTTCTAACTCTGAGCGTCGTATAGAGGTTATGATGTCCATGGTAATGCCAGGCATCATCATCATCATCATCATCGTCATCATCACCATCATCATCATCTGCGTCTTCTAGTCTAGTTACTAGATGCGTCCCGGGTTTCCAGGTGAGAAATGTGGGCTTCATGTTTCATGCCGACTCTTGGCAGGCTACAGCCCGCAGTCGCTTGGCACTGTTCCCATGCCGGTGGGTGGCATCGTGGTGGACCGCCGTCTTTGGAGTTATTGGGGATTTCTCGACATGTGCGCCCCCCAAGATTTCGATCCTTTGGAGCCGCCTTAGTTTGCATTCCTGATCAATGGCTCCGAGACAGGCTTCTCGCTAGGACCCTGGTTTCAGCATCCCATGTACCAAGCTCCGCACCTCCGATTCCCACTCCTGTCATATTGATTTACTTGGCCTCGTACTTTGAACCTTCTTGCCGCAAGTCAACGGCGCCTTTAGGCCGTTTGACTTTCCGCCCAAATGCCGAAGCCTTCCCTGCAGGACGGCTTCTATGTGCCTTGTCTACAAAGGTGCCAGTCGCATGATGCAAAAGTGCAACCATCGACATGGCTGTGTCGAACTACGAGAAGAATCAGATAGTTGATGCTCGCATAACCAACGCAAGACTGAACGGCTGCCACTGCTGCTGCTGCTGCTGCTGTACTACTGCTACTGCTGCTGCTGCTGCTGCTGCTGCTGCTGCTGCTGTACTACTGCTGCTGCTGCTGATGCTGCTGCTGCTGCTACTACTACTACTACTACTATCACTACTATCACTACTACTATTACACCAATG